AATCTCAGGCAGCAAACATCTTGAGAAGAAACATGGGCCCCATGGCTCTCAGTACTGCTAAATATCCTCACTGAAGTAACAAGGCTTCAGGTAGTGGTGACTAACTTGCTTATCCCATTGCTTTCAAGAGGGCTGTGACATGACTAACTACAGTCAAAAGTTGTACAGTAAAATACCAAAGGCTGGTTCAATGTTTCTGGTTCCAGAGGGTCAGGAATGGCCTTCAGGTATGAAACAGCTACAGGCTAGGGACAGTCACAGCGATGATTCAGGTCAGCAGCTTATTTGATCAGTTGTACACAACCTGACTCATAAGTTAGATAAAGCCAAATGAATTGTTTATAAACCAGAAACAGACTATCTTTGAACAATCTTGTGAGAACCAGATTGTTTTATCTTTTCATGGCCTACTAGTATGTATGAGACAGCCTGGAAAATCCCTCCTTCACAAGGAAGTGCTAGTGATTAAGTTACTTCTAAAGGAATACCAATGTCTTTTTCTGCTCTATTTTGAGAGAGTTAAATATTAATGTCTGCATTTCCAATATTGATGATGATGCCATTTCATTCATAGCTTTGTATATGGTAAAATGTCTTTCAAATATGTACAGAACAGTTAAAAACAATGACAAATTATTCTTTCTTTTCCTCCAAAAGGGCAGTGACAGCTATGATGAGAACTTTCATTTATGGGAATCATTATGGAAAACCACAAGTAGGTCTTCATATTAATTATCAACACTCATGATTTGGGAATGTCACCCGGGGAAGCTGCAGTTCACCCTGAATAAATAGAGGCTAGAAACTCAAGTTGCATGGGCAGAACTCTGCAAGCTGGATGATCTCACAGGTAGAAGGGGGATGACAATTTCCTTGTATTCCCCTCCCCACTTGCAACCTACCATGCTCCTGAAAATTTGCTTGGGGGACCCTCCAGAACAGTGCACAAGGTTGTGCCAGGGACTGCAGGGAAAAGGAGAATCAGTGAAAATGGACACTCTGCACAGTTAATTTGGCATTACACCTTCTTTGCTTGCAGATTGGATGTAGATATTTTGCTATCTCAGTTGGAGCAATAAATAAACCTGCTCTCCCGCCCATCTGTGTGTACTGTGTCCAAGAGTCTACTATAAGGTTGGGGCTAGGGTCTGTATCCAACCCTTCAATTACAGAGGGCAGGTTCACATGGATATGACTACAGGGCAAACACAAGGTTGGTATTTTCACTGAATTACAAGAAACACCACCATGAACCATGCAGGTGGGCCAATTAAAGGCAAACACTGAGTAGGTCTGGTGACTACATAAGTTGTGCAAAGCATTGTGTAGTAAATAGATATTGTGCTAGTGATTGTATTTGCATGTATCCTCATAATTCTCAGTGATGTTGCAAGGAATCATGGGATGTACTTCAGGTTTTTAGTTCATGCAATGTGGTAAGAGACTCATCTGTGTTAGGAAAGTGCCTTGCACTTCCAGCTGATCTATTTTTATGCTCAGATTTAAAGGGCTAATTCATTCCTCCATTTTACTGTACTGTAACACATAGAACTCCCTCTGAAAACTGTTCAGGACTGTTCAGCATGTGCTCCTGACCATTTCCTGAGCTAGAGCTAAAGGCAGGTGAGGAAGAGGCTGTGGTGCTGTAGAAGAGTGTGTCCAGGGCAATGGTCACTGGGCAGCTGCTGGGCTGAGTGCCCTCAGTGGGTCCTGGCCATGCCTACTGTGATGTGGGCACTGCCATTCACCTGAACCCTTTCTTTGGGTGCATCATTCTTCAGAAGCTAGGTGGGTGGCTAATTGAACAAAAGCCTTATCTTTGGTGGCACCTTGTTTGTGATATTTCCTCTCTAACCAGATTTGCCTGGCACTTTTAACTATCATTACTCACCTCCTCCTCCTCCTCCTCCTCCTCCTCCTCCTTCTTCTTCTTCTTCTTCTTCTTCTTCTTCTTCTTCTTCTTCTTCTTCTTCATCGTCATCCATTATAATCATTTGCCCCTTGACTTCCTTTCCCTTTTAAATGATTTCTTATTATTTTCCATTTTATCCATAATTTTATAATTACTTGTCAGGCTAGGAGAAATGAAATGGAAACACACACACACATGTTCTTGGTGAAATTAACCCATGTTGATCTCAGTCATTCAGGGTTTTGAACTGACCTTGTGAATGCTCTTTTCATTATATGAATGACCATTTCTATGGTTTTCATTTCCTATCTTTAAAAGAACTAACAAATCACTGCTTTTGTTCCCACTTTCAGCAAATCCATTCAGTGGCATTGCATGCAACATCGTGGCTGTGTTCAGACAACACAACGGCCATGGTGATTTTTTAACATTGTTTGCCTATCGTGTTGTCTGAACCCAGTCATGATATTTCATCATGGTAAATTTGGTCTTTACAAACCACAGTAAGAACCAATGCTTTGTCCTATGGTTTCTCCATACCACCATGGCCTGTCAAGTTGTCTCGACAGAGGATCAAGATTTTGGCAGTCCTAATATGCAATTACCAAAGAGTCCTCTGGAAATAGCAGCAATTGCAGTGGCTGCTGCAAGCATCCAGCCTCTGTGAGGAACAGGCAGACAATACAGGCAGGGAGTGATGCACCTTGGGATCAAATTTCAGGCACAGTGGCTGATAGGAAACATGCCACCAGTGGAAGGGATGATGGAGAGAATGGAAAACATGATAACACAGAAAGCACTAGATCATCTGTTGGGTAGGTCATGGTTAAAAACATGAAATGTGGTAACTATGTCAGGTTGGGTGAACACAGCCAATGTGTTTAAGAGGAAAAATCATTAGGGGCATACCTGCGTTTCACACTTCCCTTGATACTATGCCTTATTTTACTGTGAGCTTTTGGGAATTGTAGCTTGGTGTCGGTGCCGCTGAGGAACATCTACAGTTCTCTGGGACTTTGACTATTAAACCAAGTTGGCCTGTAGGCACTGGAACATGAGAAGAGATTATAAAGGTATTTCCTTTGTCCTTCTTGACTGAAGCTACCATTGTCTGTATCTATATTTATTTTTGATCAGCTATTAACAGGTAAAGATGAACTCATCGCCTTGACCTCAAGCAATGCTTACGCAGACTCGTATTTGATATTTAATATTTGACATGAGATATTGGAGGTAGTCTGCTGTTCTGCTTAAAGCAGACCGATACTTCAGGGCTTATTCATGAAGCCATGATGGAAGGACGGACATATTCTGCTTATTTCCTGCAGAAATCAGAGTATTCATTCTCAGTTCTGGCTGTCAGATTATAACCTCTTTCTGAGCATATATTCACTTTGCACAGTAGTACACCCAGCAGTTATCCAATCTGTCTTTCAATTGTGGCAAATGGGAAAACTAGAGAAGTAGACCTATTGATTTTTTTGTTGGATGAAAAAGAAGAAAAACCAGAGCCAAAGCCTTTCTGACATTACGTCAGAATGAAGTAAATGCTATTCAATTCACTGCTTGCCAATTTTATTGGAGAGAGGAAAAACCCAAACTGAAGTGAAATCCCACAGGATCTTAGACTCATGAAAGAACGTATCAGACAGAATATGAATTGTCTTTATTCAAAAATCCAGACTCAGTGGGTCAACCTGGATGTGGGTAAGCCGTATCAAGTAGGATGTCTGTGTTTAATGATGGAAAACTGTAATATAATGAAATAAGTTGGCCATAGAAACCCAAACAGAATATATAACATTTATAAACTACCCAAATCCTTATGGGCTGTAACATTAGGTGTATTAAATGTTTCCTGGGTTGTCTTACCCATGTAGTCATAGTGATGAGGCATATCTATATATGAAGGATGGATCTTCTCAGTGGACTGTTGTGTTGGAATGTATGGGAATTTTTGAACAAATGCAATGGTGGAAGCAGCACTAAATTTGACTTTCAGACAGGCATGATGAAATCGATGATTTGCAAATATATACGAGAAGGGAAGAAGAAGTGTCTGGAGGTGGTTTGGGAATGGAAGAGGGCAAAGGAGCTGAGTCCATCCAGATTAACTGGAGGGCCTGTGGGTAGGGAAATCGGCCAGTTTCAATAAAGGCATATTATATGCCTGGCTTGAGATGGGACTTCAGTCTCCACGAAGGACCAAGTGTGCAGTCGGGGAGCGCTCCCGGATTCTGTGTTGATCGGGGAACACTGTGGGGATGGGCACGAGTACTTATTGGCCTTTTCTCAATTTTGGGGCAGGAGCTTTTATTTATATGCCAATATGTTATTGGTTGCATTGTAAGCAACTGCACCATTCTATCTGAAGGGTGAGGTGAATGCTTCTGTAATAGTTAGTTTGGGAGTGCTCCTCGAGCCAGAGTTATCCTTGGAGCTGCAGGTGACTGTTGTGGTGAGGAGTGTTTTCCTTCAGCTTCGCTGATCCACCAACTACAACCTTACTTGGATGAGCAGAGCTTAGTGACTGTGACCCATGCTCTGGTAACCTCCCGACTGGACTATTGTAATGTGTCTATGTGGGGCTGTCCTTGAAGCTGGTCCAGATACTTAAATTGGTCCAGAATAGAGCAGCCAGGCTGCTAACAGGGACAGGCAGATATATGCACATAATGCCAGTCCTATCACATCTGCATTGGCTTCCAATGGAAGTCTGGGTCCAATTTAAGGTGCTGGTGAGGACTTCTAGAGCCCTCAATAGCTTAGGACCTGGATATTTGAAGGAGTGCCTCCTTCCATATATACCTGTCCGGGCCGTGAGATCTGGAGCGGAGGTCCTTATCTGGGAGTCCTCTTTGAAGGAGTTCAAAAGAGTGGCTACCCGGACAACGGCCTTCTCTGTGGTGGCACCCTGGCTATGCAATGGGCTCCCCACAGAGGTGAGCCTGGTGCCAACACTTTTTTCTTTTTGGTGCCACGTGAAACCCTTTTTATTTTCCCATTATTTAAAATGCTAATATCATTTTAAGATTCGGTGTTATTTATTGCAATATCTTGATGCTGTACCTTACATTATTTTATTGTATTACCTCCCTGGAATAGTGAAGGGTGGGATATAAAAGATTTAAGCAAACAAACAAATATTACATAAGCAAATAACTCAAATTAATTTATTGATTTCTTATATATTTGTAACACCTTTCTGAAAACAGCCAAGGTAGTTTTCAAAAATAATTCGTAACAGCTAGCTGTATTATTAAAAAGAGTTTTTCACTCATCTAAAACAATTGTGACCAGCACAAAATACGATGAGTTGACACTGTGGAAACACAAAATGAAATTCTTCAAGGGTTCTATTTCCTCTGGCCTGTGGAAGCAAAAGAGGGATATTGTTTAGGAGACTAAAGGAATAAATACTCGCCAGCTCTCTTGGCAGGGCCAGAAGGAGAGGCTGGTGAACAAGCAGTTACAATGATGAAGAGAAGGAGAAACTTCACAGGGTGCCTTGCCAGGATTCCTGTAAGGGCGCGGGCTTTTGACAGGTGTCTGGTGGCACCTGACCTTGACGTTGAGCCTGATCTCAGCTTTTGTGGTTGTGAATTCCATGAATTAATTGAATATAGGATATTGCATAGGGTTTTTTGGGTGACAGAGATTATTGCAGAAACTATCAAGCTCCCAATTAAAGTAATCAGGGAGCAGAGATCCAGTATTTTATTCCGTGACCAACCATGCCCTCACATGAAGGCTTTTGTTTTACTGAATGTGTCAGTCATTAAGGTGCTACAAGAGTCTTGGCTGATTCAGGTTACCACCCATGGATTTCCTACATGTAAAGCATACCTTCCACAGAATTACAGTGCCCTTCCTATTTCTCCCTGGTCTTTAGTTCCAAGAGGTGTTCATTTCAGACCCCTGGGACCAGGACCCAGATCAGAAACATTCTCCTGAAGCAGGAGATATTGCTCTTCTTTTCCTGGCTCTTCCCTTGTATCAACTGCTGTGGTGGGAGCACCATACATGATGATAGCTCTGCTCTTCACTCATGGCTGTGAGCATGTGTGGTGATGAGCACCAGTGGAGTCAACGATGCAGTCTATCCCTTGCATGGCCAACGCAGCCATATCTGCAGACCAAAGGGAAGAGCCATGCCTGCCACATACATCTCTTTTGCTCTGTTGGGATGAATTAAATCGATTTCCATGGGGCTGGAATCCTACAGAAATATACTGCATGGCAGGAAACAGACATCTCATATTGAAGTTTACCGTATAATCTTTGAATTCTTCGCCGATCATCAGATGGGAGCTTGAAGGTTTTTGGATTCTGGTAAGAATAGGTAGGGAACATCAGAGCTCCAGCGACATTTGAATGTTCCAGTCCCAGGGAGTGGCCAAATTCATGAGCAGCAACAAGGAAAAGGTTGACCTCTAAACCACAAAAGAAGGGGAAAATAGAGAATCAGGTGAGTGTTAGGTATGTAACATAAAAGGTATCACATGCCCATTCCCAGCCCTGCTGCCTGAAATGCATTACTGGAGTTTTCAGCAGTTTTAACTGGGATGTCATCCATGCCCATGGGTAGTGTACCCCGAAGCACGGTCCCGGATACCCGTGTGGAGCTTTCACCACTTCCTGTGCACAGAACATGGTCCATGCAATTCATCCAAATCTGGCATGCAGTCAACAGTTTCAGTATGATGGAATTTTCCAAGAAAATGTCCAGCCACTCCTTTATATGGGCTGGAACTCCTGGGCACAGTCCACATTGCCCTGCATTTGCAGTGCGGACAGAGCTGGAATAAGTTGTTCTGTACTTGGCTTGGAACAAAATAAGTCCTTGCAGTACTCTTTCCATGCCTTTTATGACTAAAATACACATATCTGATGGACTTTGATAGGACTTAAATCCCTGGTACGGCTGTGTAGCAGGGCTAGGGGATGCTTCTCAAAGGGCTGAGCTTCAATTCCAACCATCATTACATTTGTGCGTGTGGCTAAAGGCAAAATGGGCAGAGTCGAAGTGTGATTGCAACTCAGCTGACTCAGAAGTAAGTGGGACAAGCCTTTGCACATCTACTAAGAAGTAAGCAGGACTGGATTACTGAACAGCTTTCTGAAAGAGCACCCCAAATGCCAAGCCTCTGCTTGTCTACTCAGCTTTTAGCAGGACAACCCTCAGAAATCAGCAGCACTGAATCACACATAGATTCCTTCACAGCCCCCTTCCCACAGTACCTATCTCTACTCAGCTGCTGACCAGACAGAAGATATTTTCTCTGCCAGAAAGCTCTACATTTGCTTTCATTGTTGACCACTGCTTTCTGTATTTTGTCATAATTGCACTCTTCCCATTATCAGTGTTATTTTAAGACTAATGGTTATTTATGGTTTATAGGTTGCCTTGATTACACTGTGATTTGAAAGAAGGGACATAAATACTGAAAATCCACCCACCCACCCAGAATGGCACTAGCTAAGGAATGGCTCACCTCTGTTGACTTCCGACCAGTATTCACTGTCATCAAAGTGAGCATCGCCCCCAATGCCCGGTCCAGGAAAGTAGGCATGCGCCAAGACTCCTCCTCTTCCATCAAAAGGGCCAGAGTCACCATGGGCTAAATTGGTAAGGAAAAACCATTATTTCAATACAAAATGCTGCAGTTGCATCAGCTGCAATAACTTCCCATTTTTAGCCTACTCAGCCTTGCTCATTGCCTGGGACAGTTGTGCTGCCCAGGAGCTGGCACTGTTCGCTGCACAGGATGGCAGGGTTTTATTTGGTCCATTTAAGCCATTTCTTGGCCCTTGCAAGTGGCACCCAGCCACATAAACCATCCAATCATACTTCTGTACTGGTGGCAGGACGATCTATATTGGAGAGGAGGGCAGCCAGCCAGCTCAGCAGGTACAGGGCAAGCTGGACGGCATGTGCCTGGCTTTGTCCTTCCAAGGAGGGAGCAGCCAGGCAGCTCAGGAGGAATAGCTGCGTCAAGGGGCTGCCAATGCAGCTGCTGCTGGCCACCTTGCCACATGTCTGTGCTGGTAGTGTGGCATTTTCTGGTAAAGATGATGTTATCATTATTATATTGATATCCTGCTTTTTCCCCTCTTGCAAGGAACCCAGGGCAGCTTTCATGAACTTCCTCCTCCTCCTGTCCATTTTATCTTCAACAACCCAGTGAGGTAGCTTAGACTGGGAGCCAGCAACTGGCTCAAAGTCATCCCGTGAGCTTCTCGGCCAAGCAGGGGCTAGAACTTGGATGTCCAGCACTCTCAGCACTGTACCACACCGGCTCTCAGCTTTGTCAAGATTTCACAGTTTCTATTTCAAAAAGGAATTTGGAATGTTTGGGTGGGAACTGAGGGAAGGGTGCTGTGCAATGGCACCATGATTGATACTGGAGTTCAGGTGCTCATTATCACCATCTTCCAAGGAACAACTCTGGGTATCTGCATTGCGTGGGTGTCTTATGTATGTGTGTCCAGGCAAAATACACATGCCAAGCACACCCACAGCAGCTGTGATAGGGCCAACAGCAGCAGTGCAGACCATAATATCCAGTTTATTAGGGCCAGCTCATAGCTACAGACTTTTTAATGTGTTGGCCTTAGTGGGGAGAACATAGGAACATAAGATGAGCCATCCTGGATCCGACCAGAGGTCCATCTAGTCCAGTGCTCCATACACATGTGACGAAGCAGCCGCCCACAGGATCTCTCAAACAGGAGGAGCTGCCATTTAGGCTCTGCTCAGACTGTACTAAAGGATGAAGAAGTCTGTTTAGGGCTCAACCCTGTGCAAGATTAGGCAGAAGGAGGGCCACAATTTCTGCATGCCAGAGCTGTTACTATTCATATCAAGCCTTTACAGCACAAACAACCAGAGCAATCCAATTGTTTTTACTGCACCTTTGGCTCAAAGGAAGTTCTGTGATGGGTAATGTCTCAGAAGAGGCCTCATTCTCTTTCAGTGCGAAAAGTGCATGCTGTTGTGTTTGAAGGGCCAAGAGACAGACTTACCCCCACGTGCAAAGCCAATTTCAATATCTGCACGCCTGTGAGTTCTTCTGAACATCAGTGGGGTCACATCGCTCCACACCTTGAACGCCTTTGCTATCACTTCATCCACTTTGGCTCTAGGCAGATCGGGGGTGTAGTTAGTGATCCTTTGAGTGAAAGAGAAAAGTTCCAGTTTAGTATGTATTCAAGGAACAGAACTTCTGATATTCAAGAAAGAGAAAGCAAGCGGAAAAGTAGTGAACCTGTATGTCAGCACATTGGACCTCCACCTTGATACATAGCCAGCTTTGTGGTAACTGGGGGTATCTGGCATTCCACAGCGAGGCTTCTTTGCCGTCGCCATGGTTTCTTCATCCATTTTCCCAGTGACGTTCAAATGGAAGAATTTCTGCATTTCTCTAATTCTGTCTTCCAGGCTCAGAGCACTCTTATGATATGTTGGGAAGAATTTGTCAAGATAAACCTGGACCAGGAAAGAAAAAGATCACTTCATATTACTTAATGCATTCCTTTTACTTAGTGTGGGACCTTAAACAAGTCTGCCTTGATGGTTGTATGGTTAGAATCCAGTTTTAAATATTTTAACTTTATATTTGGATTGCAGTTTCTGTCTGTTAGTTTTCAATGCTCAGGATTCCTGTTGGATGTAAATCCACATATAAATCTTACAAGCTCAAATAAAATATTTTTGCGACCTTTTGGTTGGCCTAATCAACACACTATACCAATAGGGATATAGAAATGCTGGCATTGCCCATATTAGTTCTTGCTCCACATGATGGGATTATTTATTTTGTTTCTATTTACTCAATAAGAAGGAAGGCAGGGTGAAGCCTGCGAAATTTACATCATGCCTATACAGAAACAGAATAAATATTTGAGAATTCTTTCCCATGGAGATGCCTGAAAACCTCTGCACGCAGAAGAATATGGGCATCCGATGCAGAGAAGGAGGACCGAAGAGAGAGCTTGCCTGTGATTTGGGCTGTCTGCCTGCATCACTTTGGAGATGGAGAGGACTTTGAGATACACCCTTGGAGAATCAGCCAGGGCAGTTCTTTCTGTGCTGGATGCTGGCTGCGGATCCCGAGCTCTGAGGTTAGAGTGATTTTCTGAGTTTGGAGCTGGGAATTCCAACAGTCCCATGTCCCCACAGGGACGGTCTGGGGGCCATAAGATTGCCTGCAAATTATTAACTATAAAATGGCCTCTAAAGAATAGCAGCCATATCCTACCCTGCCCAGTTCAAGAGATAAATCTGGATGATCCTTACCTCTAGAAACTTGACGTCTCCAATCCCTGGTGTTGTGTTCTTAGGAGCTACTGGGATGGTGATGCCGTAAGGCACGAAAAGTGCCATGCAGATTAGGATGGACTTCATAATGGACTTTACTGAAGACTCTGTGTTAGCAGAGAAAGTCTTCGTTGTCCTGTGGTGTCTACCAAGCAAAGAGGGTGAATTTATATAGATCCATCCAGTAGGAGCCCTCAAATTACTCATCTTGTCACACAGTCTGTGGTTTGGTGACTTTGCGTAATACTCTACGCATTATAATTCTGCAAAGTGTGAAAAATGAGTATCTCAAAATGATTTATTCATGTCACTTTAGCATAGGAAGTGGTCTGCATCTTCCCTCTTTATAATCATCTAGTAAAGCTGCAAAAAGAGCAGCTGTCTTCCTTGAATTCCATTGCAGACCATTCTTTGGTTTGGTGGGTTAGTTCTCATGGAGGAAACATCAGTCAGCTGGTGGGAGAAGCCTTATAATTCTTCCTTTCTGTCTGAATGAGGTTCCCACTGGAGCCTATACTCTAGAACTCTCTCAGTTGGTTAAGTACCATGTGTGCGTGGGAGAGAGAGATACTATAGATTTTTTTTTAATTTCTTTTTCTTTTTTTCAAACTTAAGTTCAGGCCATCACTTTTCCCCTAATACTTGAATTTTGTATGGGATTTTGCCTAACAGAGACATGGCTGCCACAATTTCCTTAACATCATGCTTTTTTCAAAGTTATTTCCCATGATATATGTGCTTTGTATTCTCACTGGAAAATGACAGTTTGCAGAAGTGCACATTTCAAAATATCGCTAAGTTTTGCTTGGAGTATTGTTTTGGTGCTTCAGAATTAGGTACATATGTATTGAAATGCGAATGCGTGTCTCCCCCATCCTGAACATATATGGAAAGTGCATAAGATGTTAGCTGAAGGCTGAAAGCAGTGTGTGTGTGTGTGTGTGTCTGTGTCTGTGTCTGTGTCTGTGTCTGTGTGTCTGTGTGCATGCATGGCCTCTCTCTGGAGCTCTTCCATGAGCAGATTTTCTGTCGAGCAGGAACACCTTCTGATTGCCTCTCGCCCACTTCTCCCCTTCCCACAGATGCAGGTGGAAGCTTCAGAAACACAGGCCTTCACTGGAGCACAGCACTTCTGTTCTTGTACATGTGTAAATATAGTACACCTTGCGAAGACACCGGACCTCTGCTGTGGTCCTCTCACTGCAAAGAAATAAAGACTCAGACAGCACTGGCTGGGGATGTGTGAGGAATCCATTTGAGGTTGGGAATCCACAGGGTCCCCTGGGCTCGGCTACCTGGACTCCAGTGTGCTTTGCAGCAGACCTGAGTCCAAGTTCCTGGTGAGTGGATCCCAGGGCGCTTGCCCAGAAATGAGCCCTGAATGGCGTGCAAGCAGTACCCCTCTTCTGCACAACGTCTAGGCACTGTTAGGGTGGCTGCACCTGACTCGGAGCAAGGTTGGGCACGTGGGGCTCACCAGGAATCGAGGCCCCTGTGCAAGCAGCATCCCTCTTCCACATCACCTGCGGCAGCTATTTGGGCTGCTGCACCTGATGTGGAAGAAGGCTGCTGGGTGTGTGGCTGGGGGTCCAGAGCATTCAGGGACTTCTTCACAGTTTGACTCTCTTTGTAGACCACGTCCAGAGGGATGGATTCTGAGAGGCTTCATCACAACCCTAGGCGTAGCCCTCCGGGAAGCGGGAAATCAGCAACAAGAGTGCCTCAAAACACATTTACCAACCAATTGAAGGACAAGCTAATGGATTGGTTAAATTAACCTGCATACTGGTCAGGGCCAAGACATCTGCCAGAAGAAAAGAACAAGGTGCCTCCTCCTCATTCCAGATGCACAGGCCAGCCGGATTGCCAGTTTCCTGGTTGGGAACAGGATGTGTTTTCTGCTGTTCTCAAGGGCAGCAGGTCAGTTCAGGAGGCACAGGACAAGCTGTGTGTGCTCGTTATTGCACTGGGTGCCTTTCTGAAGCTTGGGAGAGCCTACAGGCTCACAAGCTAAAAGCTCCTCCCCATTAGGTGGAAAGACTTCCTTGCATATTCTCCTGCAGGTTTGCATTCACCTCGGTGCAGCAGTATATGTGGGCACTGTGCAGGGTGTTCCTCCCTCCCCTCCACGGCAGCAGTTGCACAGGAAAAGCCCACTGAGGAAACTGCCAGTGCAAATTTATGGATAGTGTTGCATTACTGGCACAGTATCCCATTTCAAATTAGAAGGATGTCTGGGCCTGCCAACTGGAGATGCCAGAGGTGCAATCGAAGATACACAAACACGGAACATCTGTAGTGGTTGTATTACTGTAAGCATATCACAGCTACACGTATGCTGATTGCAAAATACTGGAAGAAGCGGAAGCTGCCTTCTAAGGAAGAATGTACAAGGAAACTGTGGCGAAGGATGTTAATGACTAAATGTGCACACTTCTAAAAGATGCTGGGAAACTGCTCGATAGACAGTCATCGCTCCTGGATCAATGGTGACCATTCATTATTTGTTGGCAACCTGTTATAAGGTCCAAATGATTCAGATCTGCATCTTTTCCTTTGTGTTTTTTCTTTGTTTTTCCTGCAAGAAGAGTGGAGGTAGTTCTGAATCAGATTTTGTTCCTGCTTAATAGCTGATCAGTGCAACAGATATTCAAATTTTGCTGTCGGCCCGAAACTCCAGCAGTTGCATTGACAGATCAGAGAGGAAAGAGCAACAGAGCAGAACCAAAACAACCTTTTAAAATAATCAAACATGCTCTTGTCCCCACCAGTTACATTTTGACCTTCATGAATTAGAGTTTTCCTCCAATGTGCTGATTAGTTCGAATGTTGAGGGAATAGCACGACAAGTGGAACTAGACACAATGTGTGAGTTGTGTGACTGGCGCATTCAGAGTGAGTGGGGCAGCTAGGCTAGGGCTGGGCTGGATCTTGGGGCCAAACAGGCCCTACAGCCAGACCTCCCCACCTTCCATCAGCCACAGCATGGCAGGTGATGAAGACATCTCCTTTCATTCTTGCAGTCATGCTGGTGCTGTGACTGAAGTGGATTCAAAATGCACAACTGCACATGCTCAGAGCATGTTTTTAAAAAGCCAGATTGGCAAACTGTTTTGTCACAGTTGGTACAGGAGCCAGGAGGAGAAATGTGGGGTGCTTCACAATTGAATTAATTCACAAGGCATGATAAGACCATGGTCTGTAAGAACCTAGCTGCACCACTGCCTAACTTCTTTTCTTTGGATTAGGAAGTACTCTTCCCCACGTGCTGTGATCCTGATCGTCTTAGCTCTGCCCTAGATTCGGTATCAGCCACAGAAGTAAAAACAAATAGGCACAATTTGTGTGTCTGAGGCTGCATCCAACAGATTTCCATAAGACTGCCAGAGTGAATGGAAATCCTCATAGGAGAACATTACATATTTATTAATGTATTTATTAAGCAAAATTCTATGCTGCCCCATTCGCCGAAGCCTCGGGGCGGATCACAACAATAAATAAATAAATACACAATTAACCATATAAAACAGTATAATTGGAGATGTCCTGGCTGAAGATATAAAATCAATAAATAATATTAACAATTAAAATGACGTTTAAATAAAAAGGTCTTGGCCTGGCGCCGAAAAGCAAATAATGATGTCGCCAGGTGGACCTCTATGGGGAGCACATTCCACAGATTGGGCGCCACCGCAGAGAAAGCCCTCCTCCGGGTACTCACCCTCCTAATGGTTCCAGTATTACCCTCCAGTAATACAATCACTACAGATGCTCTGTGTTTGTGTATCATAACATATGGCTCCCACATGTTATGAGAAGCACAGTCTTTTGAATGGTCTGTATATGGCAACCTCAGGGACCACGGAAGTACTTTTAAGGTGTATTCATGGAGGACTCAAAGCAGTCCAACATTAAATAAAAATAATTCAAAAGGGATGCCAACAGCACTGGAAAGACAGTTTGTGAGTACCCTACTTTGGTAGAAAGACTAAAGTTCATTCTTTAGGCTCTGCATCTCTGCTCCCAATCTCAACTTCTTTCTTTCTCTTGTAGACTCTCAGCTCAGTCTAGGTGTGCTTGGTTCCTCCATCCAGAGCAAAACTCTGCTGTTAAAGCACAAGAAGCCTTTCCGATTGTATGCTTTTTTTTGCATTCAGAGACTTGCACTCTCTAAAGTCTTGCCACAGTTCCCACTAACCTCTTCAATGGGAATACAAGCAGCAGCCCTTTTTTCCTGAGAAATATTCACCTAGTCCCAAATTTGCAATTGTGTTTGAAACAGGCATATTTTAATGTATACCTCATTTTTTTAAAATAAAAAATGTCCATTGTCACACATGCATGGGAGCAAGTGCACACTTTTGAAAAACAGACACATAAATGCACACTCTCTTCATTCAACACACACATTTTCCCTCATTGGAACAAGCCAAAAGGCAAGTTGAAAATGAAAATGGAAGCAAGGTAAAATGAGATTCAGAGTGATTTTGAAAACAGCTAGGCCAGTTTGAAAATGGCGGGCACTCCTTTTCCCAGGTACAGTTTGTTCTGGGTTCCAGACACAGGGTACACACTCCTCTTTTTCTCTTTTATCAATCAACTCTTGATTACAACAGCATCTCTTTTTCCTGCCTGATTGTTAAGGGGTGGTCTGCCCCCGCCCAGGGTCCCTTGCTGGCTGTAACATAACAACAAACTGCTCTGAATCAGAACTAAAAGTGAGCAGATGCCTGAGGGCACTCATTTGCAGAGAAGACATTTTCAAAATCTTTTGTCCTTTATTGATAATTGTCTGGAATTTATTTCCATGGGTAAAATTGCTGGTGTGCCTTCTGGAAGCCAGAAAAGCAAATACAGCTGGGTTTAAAATCGGCCGAGGCACAATCCCATTCATTTGCCAGTTTTACCTTTTGAAATATATTACAGAATGGGAATCTTTTGGTTTACTTTGTCATCCTTTCCTCCATCAACTTCCCAGGTGTGATGGAAGAACTTCACAGGTTATGTGAAGTCACCTTTATCACACCTATAACTTTGTACCCCAACATCTGCTGCATGAGATGGTTGCATCGCTCTGACTTATGGATGACAAACCCCATATGGTTCAAGGAGTCTGTGTATCTG